TATAATAATGTAAACTTATGTGCTTGTACAGGTAGCCTATAGGAGCAGGATGTTAATATTATGAAAGCTAGGTACAGGAAAGGAAACTTTCGGAGCTATACAGAGTGTTTCAGATAAGGCAAGAAAATGGAAAGAGGAAAAGTAGAGGTGCTGCATACATCCATTCACATGTATGTAATCATCCCACAAATGCCATAGTTAGCTTATTCCCACCTGGTAAAAGAGATGATAGGGTGTTGGTAACAGCGGGAAGATCGAAGGAACATGAATAATTGTAATTACAGAAAATGAATACAAGCCCACTTGTGCTTCTGTCCAGGACTTTGCAAGGCTTTGATAAGTTTGTTTTCTTCTTCAGAACCTCCTTAGGCATCTTTTGACTTCTGTAAGTATTTGGCTCTTAAATACACAATCAAACTACATGTCATGCTAAATATGTAGCATCAGCTATGTCTTTCTTGCTTTTCTTCAATTAATTACAGCCGCGGGGTAGAAAGATTCTTTCTGGGATCACTACACATGGGGAAGTTTATCCCTTCTCTTCCCGCTTGCACCCCTCCATGAATACAACACCCGGGTATCTACAAGTTTCCCCTCACTGCTGCTGTGATCCTGATAAAAACCCCTACATATTACATCCCACACTATGTGATTTGTCCCTAAATTTACCTTCATAGGCACATGCTGTAGTGAACGTGATACTAGTCACTTCCATGTAATATAATTTATTTAACATTGGAAAAAAATATATTTCTACTTGAAAAGGAGCGGGGATGGGGTTGGTAAATGGCACATGGTTCGTCTCTATTTTCACACACTGCCTTGCTTTATTAAAATCTTTATGTCTCATTCTCTGCATTGTTTTTCGCTTTTAAGTACCACCGGTTCATGAGCTGCACGGAAGCTGTTATTGCTTGTTACCATTTATTTCTTGGTTCAGAAAGAAGAAGAAAAGCCTCCAGAGATAACCATGTCTAGCAACAGGCCTCAAATACTTGGAATGATTCCTCCCCTCCCCCAGCAGCAACAATAAATGGAGGAAACCTTTCTAGTAAACACAGCTGTTGAGGCCTTTCAAAGCACCGTCAAACAGTCTAGTGCCATTTCTAATCTCAGGGTTGCTACGAATATAGTAGAGCTTAGTAGTTAATTACTGTCTATGGACTGGGAGGTAGTTGAGAGAGACAGAGAGAAAGAAAGAGAAAGGGATGTTGTTGAATGCAACATTTGTGTGTGGTAGCATGGCCTTGTTCAGTCAAGCTACAATGCATGTTACATGGCTGCCTGAGAGGAACAGAAAAGCAACTTTCTCATTCTCTGACCAGAATGCTTGATAAGGCTTGGTGTCAGAAAGGGCAAGATGGGGCTCACAGCAATTATGGCAAAGGCATGCCAGTTTCCTTGACAACCAGATTGCAGATTCTTTGTGATTTATTATTTACCACTTCAAACCCTCGTTCTGTGATTTAATTAGGGAGAGGGATTTCCATACGTCTGCCCCTCCCCAAATTCCGATTGTCCCAGTGCTGTTTTGATGACAGCGCTTGCGACTGTCCGGAATTGCTGCTCTCAAGAAACTGCAACAAATTAAGCCCCGACATTTGATTGCCGTGTAGTTTTTAGGGTGTGATCCTCTACAACAGACATGCTGCTGTGAAGTGTGACTTCAGTAACAGGGAGCGGTGGATGGGGGTCCCTTTCTCCTACCTTCACCACCACCACCCCTTTTCAGGATGGGATGCTGAAGCAGGTAGACAGGGGGAATGAGAGGGTCATGGACAGTGGCTCTGCCTTTCTCGGCACTCATTAGGGTACCCTATATCATGTGGTGTCAGCAGTGTTAGAAACTCAGATATATAAGCCAGGCACCAAATGTCTCCTTAAACCAGGGTTACAGTCTCCAAAACAGAATGCCTAGTTGCCATTTGGGGCCAGACAGCTCAAAAGTCATATTTTTTCAATACATAATTTTTTGATTCCTGAAATTCATTCTGATTGTGCAGATAAAATATAACTGATAGAATTCTACAGGATGTGTTGCTAGTGTGTGAAAATAGTCCTGATTCAAGGATCTCCAGGCATGTACCTGCAGACGGTGGAAACGTCAGGCACCATCTTAGTACCCGGGCGTCTTCACTTGGTGACAAGTGGCTAATAGCCAGGTGCAATGTGAGCCTGGCACCTGGAGAATTTCGAACGCTGGGTGTCAGGCCTTTCAGGCTGCACAAGTGAAGCGAGTACTTTTGCCAGGCTGTTTTAGGCAGTCAGTTGGCATTGGCGGGGAAAGGGATAAGGAGGTGAATAGGCATTTGGACCTACTGGCAGGGATGGCCTATCAGGGAGATAATGGATCAGGCTAAAGGCCTGTGTAGTTCACAATCTGGTCCTGAGTGAGCCTCTCAAGGAAGGCCAAGACCATCCTGTATGGGGCAGCTGCATATTCCTGCCTTGCAGGGAGTTGGACTAGATAATCCTCAGGGTCCCTTCCAGCTCTACATTTCTATGATTCTATGTGTAGTCCTCATTTAAAGTCATCCAAATTGGTGGCCACCAGAACTGATGGTCCATCATGGGCTGGTTAGCAGAAGCTGTATCCAGGCTATTGTTCCATGTAGTTCTCTTTTTGATTTGACTTAGGTGTGTGGGGTGAGGGGAGTATTAATATAAACACACCCTGGATTTGACCCGGGGTTTGTCTTCTCTATTTCAGCCCGAGATCACCAGCATGTAAAACATGAGCTGTTTCATGAGGCCAGGGCTTATCTGACTATTCCTGTGTTTCTGGTTTCTGTGTACGAGAGGAAGGAGAGAAATGCCCATGATATGTCTGATTGCTGTCTGCTGCTGCAGCTGAATAGTTAGGAAATTGTGCTTTGGAATTTGCAGTGGTTTCAAGTCCCAAGAGCTCACCTCCTTTTTGCCACTGACATGACTCTTCCCCAAGGTATGCAAAAGGTGAGCAGGCCCCTTCTTCTCAATGGTAAGGCCCCAGCCCCATGATCTGTGCAATGAACCACAGGAGGAAGGTGCTGTCACTGTGAGCTTGCGGTTCCCCTTACTGAATACCCATGTCCCTTCACCTGTCTGCTTGGTGGGGGGAAAATGTATTTTCCTCCCCAGGAAGGTCTTTGAACCCTAGATGGTTGTGTGAGTTCTCTGCAGATGTGAGTGGTGTGTTGTGTGAGTGCTCCTTTGCGTGTTGTACTTAAGAGCAGCATGAGGGATTCAAATTTTCTGTAGTGGTGATGCCTGGAGACTGGTACTAGCTGAATTATTGCTGGCTTGCTGATGAACTACGTGTGCTGTGGTGCCATCTTATGTGCCATGGGTGAGCTATAAAAGAGGGGTAGGTAGGTATGGGGTTATGTTCCCTTCCTTTTGAGGTTTTCAGCTCCCTCCATGTGTAGAACAGTATGGAAGTGTCAGCATAGTTCCTGATTGGTGGGTGCTGGCAGAATTTACACAGGGATTTTTGTGTCATTGTAGTTTTTTTCTAGCTGTATTTTTCTTTGAGGCTGAGCATGCATTGGATATGGCGGCCATTCTGCTCCCATCCAGGAGCAATGTGAGTATAGAACAAGACGCAGCTCAAACTCAGTGGGTAGCATGCTGACTGACGGCTTGTTAATGTACCAAGGATAATAGAGATCTCTTTTCCCCATCTTTGTATAGTCTTTCCTGCCCACCCCTGAACTCCACACACATCAGTATTCTTCGCAGGCAACAGGTTGCAACAAGTGATGCGTCTAAATTCTCTTCAGTGCTGAAAAACAAGTCTTCCTTTCGGGTGTTTCAAATGGCTTTGTTTTTAGATTCTGTGCTTAAGGCACCATTAAGATTTAGAATCTGAGGTTTTCATGAAATCTGTTTCTCAAGGAAGTGGCACCATTTTCTGACTAACTTGGATTTAGCAAGAGTCATTCATGCCTTTGTAATAGCAAGACCAATGGTTGTATTGCCTGTAAAGAGCATTTGGAAGCTCCGGCTCAGGCAGAATGTGGAAAAAGCAGCAGACAACCAGGCAGGAGCAAAGTGGATGCAATCTCCCCCAGGAGTCAGTTCTGTTTGCTTGTTCTCACTATGCCAGTTCGGCTTCGTGTTAAGGGCAACCCGAGATCTAAGGATACAGAAGCTACCCTCTGTACCTGGAACTGACCGCATATTTTCACTGGATAAAGTGGTCCAGCATTTTAACTTGAAATTACGGTTGTCAAGTTGTGTGGTTTTATATACAGCTAATGTCTCTTTAGGGCACGAAACTAGGTGCTACATCAAATCCAACTTTATGCATTTAAATCCCATCCTTCTAGGAGATCGAGGTGCCACACATGGTTATCCCCCTCCTCATTTAATCCACACAACAACCCTGTGAGGTAGGTTAGGCTTAGAAGCAGTGACTTGCCCAAGGTCACACCTAGAGTGTTTCTTGGCAGAGTGGGAATTTTCAACTCAGATCGCAGTCTTCTTGCTATAATTGTAGACCTCCTTTTTCTGGAACGAATAATGAATGAAAAATAGGTTGCCTGCCCTTCCTACTGCTTTGATTTTACAGAGCTATGAGAATAACATTTTGCAGTTTTATAAACACTTAGATGTTTCCAAAGTGCAGTCTATGGACCATCAATGGTCCATGAGCTTAATAAAAGTGATGGGGTGGGAATAAGGAGTGCTGTGCCTTCCTCAGAGATGAATGAAACCACAGCTGAAGGCTAGATGTGGGAAAGTCATGAGCAGGAAAACAGCACTGCCTGGTGCTTGAAAGGCGTGGAGGATCAAGACATGGAAATGAAGGAAGCAACAAGAAAGAGCAGAAGAAACTAAGAGAGAGCGCATGGACAACACATTGCAATTCCTAAACTACAGGCAGAAAAGCCATTAAATGGTCCACCAAGACTTTCAGCCATTTTCAAGTGGTCCAGAGGGCAGAGGGAAGTTTGGGAACAACCACCTCAGGGAATTCAAAATGCCCCTCAGTTATCTTTACAAGAGCAGTGTGGGAAACCGTCCAGTTGGTAGAGCATGACACTCTTAATCTCAGGGTTGTGGGTTTGAGCCTCGCGTTGGGCAAAAGAGTCCTATATTTGCAGGGGGTTGAACTAGATGATCCCTGTGGTCGCTTCCAACTTACAGTTCTATAACTCCCACCCTCCATAATCATTGGTCATGTTAACTGGGACTCATGGGAATTGGAGCCAAGTTCTTTGCCGCTGCTCTGCCACAATCCTGTAAGGTGGGTCAGCATAATTATCCTCAAATAACAGGTGGGGAATATAGAGATAGAAGTATAAAAAGCTGCATTGCAGCACCAGAGTTTTGGTCCACCCAAACTGCTGTGACTGGCAGCAGCTGCCCAGAGCCTCCTATGAAGTTTTCCAGTCACCTGTTACCTGTTCTTTTTGCTTTGCTTTTTTAAATGGATATGCTGGAGCTTGAACCAGGCGCCTTTTTTTGCAGGAAGAGCATTTGCTCTCCTGCTGAACTATGGATCAGCAGGACAGTAGCTTGCCCTGAGGCTGTCTAATGAGATCATGGCTGATGAGGGATTTCCACCACGCTGCCCAACCTGTCATTGCGCGCGTGCTCTCTCTCTCTCTCTCTCAAAAAAAAAAGTGAAAGTGGAATGAATATTAAAAATGTGCACAGTGTTATTGTTGGTGCCCTTCAAAAATGTTGCAGGAAGGCAAGTTATCATTTAGGAAATACGGGTTTGTTTTCGTTAATTATCAAGTCAATTTGCTGTAATGGTGACTGATTGAATGCCTCTAAAAATAATGAGAGGCTTGAAGTCAGTCACAAAACGGGCTTATAAAATCAAACGTATTACAAAGAAATAGATAATAAGCTTAACAATGGTGCTCATACATGCCTACTGATACATTGTGGTGTCTTTTTATGCGTAAGTAGAACAGACAGGGTTTTTCTCTCCCGCCCCCCTCCCCATCTAAAGAGGCTCCCACACAGTAAATTGAAAGGAATTGAATTTAATCTGCCTGAGAATAATGACGTGGAGTCAGCCCTGCTGGGAATTGCACTGGAAGTTGTAGTATTCCACAGCACACGCCTAAGCCAGAAATTGCCTCCTCATCTCCCCGATTTTCTTACACAGTCTTACTCTTTGTTAGTCCTGAATAATGTATCTAATCAGAAGTCTATGTGATGGTTTCTGCAGAAAAGTTTAGTTTTATTTGGAATGAGAGCAGAGCAGCCGTATCTGCCACACTTCATGGTTTCCTTGAGAAATAAATACCCGTATACCATTGTTAGCCTTGACTAAACCAGAGAGTCAAAAATAGTATGTGGTGCTGTCCTGCAAATTGTACTACTTTAAAACACAGGCGAGCAATATCATGTTTGAATACCACCCCGCAAATAGAGTGTTAGTGTGTCAGTCAGTTAGTTTTCCCCACTGCCTACATTCTTAAATAGTACAGTCTAAACCGCAGAGCCAGGGACCACATTCTCATGAAGAATCTTCTGTGGGCACCAGAAGTGAGCAGAGCCAGAGGCAGTTCTTGTATTTGTACAGTAGACTGAAGGCCAGCCATGAAAAGGTCACATATTTCTATTATTATTATTATTATTATTATTATTATTATTATACGGCCATTCACTGGTAGATCTCACAACGTAAAATCACAATATAAAAAACACAGAATACATAGTAAAAAAAAGAACAAAACTTGGTTGAAGAGGAATGTATTTGCCTGGTGCCCAAAGGTGTATAATGATGGTGCCAGCTGAACCTCCCTGGAAGAGCATTCCACAGAGAGGAAACCACTGCAGAAAAGAAATGTTCTCATGTTGCCACCCTCTGGACCTTGTGGAGGAGGCACACGAAGAAGAGCCTCAGACAATGATCTCAGGGTCCGAGTAGGTTTATAGGGAGAGAAGCAGTCCTCAAGGTATTGTGGTCCTGAATAAACAAATAAAAAGGTAAACAAACAACCAAGCAAATAAGCCACACACTGGCAGAACTTGGGTAGGTTAGAGCATTGGCACGACAATGCCTGTTATAGATTAGTACTGAATCCTGACCCTCCGGCAAGTTCTAGACCATCTGAAGACTGGGTGGTAGAGCCACAAAATATGATGGGTATTAACCACAGGATGAAGGTGATTCAGACGATATAGGATGTTATTGCTAGTGATCAGTTAGTAATAATAATAAGGAAGTGCCAATTTCCTAAGACTGTAACAACATTGAAGCAAATTTTCAGTGTGTTGTTTGTGACATCCATTTTTCGTGTTTCATATGCAGGTTTTTTAACTTTTCTTTTTGTTCTTCTAAAGATGGATGTTCTGTTTATGATAGTATGTTCTCACAACTGCACACTCCTTAGGAATTATTTGCATATGCAAATGTCTGCTCTTCCTCTAGTGTTTTGTAGTATGTTCTCTGCTTTTTGTTCTTTTTCAAGTTAAATACGAATCATGTTTGAAGGGTGGGGGAACTAGTGGATTCACACTTAACAAAAACAATACAGTTTGTGTTTTGGATTCCACCCCCCGCCCTTTATTTCTTCCCAACTAGGCTATCTGCATGCTACTCTATGGCAACTCCCCCCCACAACTGTGAAATCCCAGCAGCTGCGTCTTTTTGTTTTAAATATTTCTAGGGCGTGTATCACCATAGCATGTGAGTCTCTAGAGGAATGGTGATCTTTTAATTAAGATGTGGTGCTGGGAATCAGGAACTGTAGATTATGCTTGTCACGCTACTTCTGATTTTCTGTGTCATCATGTTTAAGTCACAGGATTTCTAACCCTCAGGAGTTTCTGTGCTGATGAACTTTGAAGATTCCAGTCAGTCTCTTTGGACCTGACTATGCTGAGCTTCATAGCAGATGCTTTGCTAACAACTGCCAAGCCTGGATCTATGGAAATATTTTTTTCCAGGGAGCAATATCCCATGATGGCAAATCCAGAGCATGCTGACTGAGAGGCAAATAATTATTTGAATACAGATTTATTCCATTCAAGAAAGTGGAATATTTGTCCCCCCCCCCCACCGCCTATATGCAGTTTATCATTTTATCAGCAAATAAAATGTTGGTTTTTGAGGCAAACTGCCCCCCCCGTTTTGAACTAGGAAATGGCCTTTGGCCATTCAGTCTTACTGCAGGCCTTTTCTGTTTTCTCAAGTATGTTCTACTTAGTGTGCAGTAGCTGAAGTAATAACAGTAAATTTAATGCTAGGACTATATATCAAATTGTTCTCTTGCTGCTTCTGAAAGGTTGGTGTTTCTAGGATCCTTAATATCATTTTTAGATTGTGGTTGCTGCCTACTAATATCTAGGAAGTTTCTGCTCCTCATTCACAAAACCGTCTGGAAAAACAGACTGATGTAAAAATTCTTCACCACCCTATAACGGATTTTGAGCTGCAGCTTCATGCTGCCTAGAATAGAAGTTAACCAGATTGCCAAGGAGTGGGCATTTTAGGCGCCAATAGCACAACACATATAATTAATTATATTGCCGTAAAAAACTGCAGGTGACAGGCACCATAGGAATTGACCAAGGGTGCCTTTTAGTAGATATTATAAAATCTTAGATACATACATTACATACATTACATGACCTCATTTGATTTAATGGCATATAGTCACATTATGGATCACGCAAGTCAGACTTATTGTAAAGGAAAAGGAAGATCCTTGTTTGGAACAATGCAAGCAAAAGAACGTGCACACAGAGAGAGTTAAGTTGACCCCATTTGAAAATATAACTTGAGTCAGCACTTTGTAAATGCTTTGTTTTGCAATAATGACCCCCAACAATAGTGATGCTGCTGTCATTGGTTTAATGAACACCGTAGAGAGCTTTATTGGATAATCTCACGTTTTATACACTTCAGCTCCTATGAGTACTTGCATTTTCAGCTCAGTTCAGTTGAGCAACATGCAAATGAATGTGCTGTGTTTTGGGAATTTGAAACCTAGGCTTCTAACATGGGGAGCAGTGAGTATCAATTGTAGGAATTCTGACTGTAGTTTAGTTCCACTGCGCTGGCAAGAGTAGTCTTCAATTCCAGGAGATCCACCCTTTAGTTGGTATGTGTGTGCTTGATCCAGGTATACCATAATTGCATCAGTTTAGGGCGAATATAGAGCTATGATAATGACAAAATGGTGTAAGAATACAATTTGCCTACTAAATAGTATTCTTGAGGGCCATTTGAATGGGTCAGGATGCACATTGTTATCGGAAAGCTCTTTTCTTTGGTTAATGCCTTTTGAGTGTCAGTAACTCTGTGTTGCCTTCTAATCTTAGAATCTGTTTTTTTAAAATTAATTATATTCCTTATTAGCTATGTTTATTATGCACAAAGCACCCAGCTGCTTTAAAGCTACTTGGTTTACACTGGATTTTTTTTTAATTTGTTTTTTTAAAAAAGTTTTTTTGTTTATTTATTTAAATGAGCTAGAAATGGTCCTTCTATGACAAGAGAGGTCTGACTTTCGCAGGGCCATTCCCCCACTATTGCTACAGAGCATGGGAAGGGAAGGGGGTGGGGTGGGAAGGAAGCAGCGGTCACCACCGGACCAAGGTCCTGCCTGGGCACCTGCTCCCACCAGCAGTATTTACAGCCAGGGATAGCTGGAATGTACAGAGTGCGAAGGGGAGGCGGGTCAGGGAGTGAGGAAAGTGTAGGTAGTTGGCTGCTGGGGCCAGATGTTTTTGAGGAGAAACAGGAAGCATTTTGTGTTCTTTCTCAGTTCAGTACCTTTCATGACAGAGTGAAACTCTTTTTAGTGTCTGGGGCTGCCCCCAAAATTCCCACGCAGTACCACAGGGGCAAGGACCTTGTCGTACAGGAAAAATGTAACTTGCCGATGTAGGCCGAAGGCGGCCTTGGACCAGATGGGAGGAATGTTAGTAAAGGCCAGGAATAATAATAATAAAATATAATAATAAAAGGGGAAAACAAGAGTGGCTCAGAATACTCTGGAGACTGAAAAAATCCCCATGACCATGGCTAGCGTTAGCTGAAGCAATTTGGAAAGTCAAGGGGGATTTTGTGGGGGACAGGGTGGGAATGCTGTAGAATTTAAGATGGATAAATT